TTCTTGAAAAAAATTTTAACACTTTTTATGGCACCATATCAACATTCATGTATTGCCTACATTACTTGAGGAGAAGAGAAAAAATAAAAAATTGGAACACCACAAAGGGGAATAGCTGATAGTAATAAATGTCACATTATACTTAATAATGGGCAAGGAACTGAATAAACGAATTGTGAATGATTCTGGTGAGTGAGCATATTAATGTCACAACATAAGGCCCTGAGCACATATAAAATAAAATAAAAAAAACAGCCTTAGAACCCGCATTTCTGAGCATTTTTACGTATGAACGGTATGGTGCTAAGACTGAAAAGAGGAAAAAGGAATTAAATCGAGAAAATGTGATGACAAGGCTTCTACAGTTAAATGTCATTTGTAGGAATTTTAAATTCTCTGTCTCTGCCTTTACTTATATGTGTGGATAGATATAAGAAGGAATTTTATACACATTTTTGATGAAAAATACTGTCATTGTCGTTTGGGAAGCCGAACCTCCTCTTGTGAAACTTATATGCATATATATTATGTTAAAGGAAGTATTGGGTCTACAAATTTTCGCATGCCTACACATTTTGACAGCACACACAGAGGATGATAAAGAAGCATTCACATGTGGCGTAAAAACGGCAGAAAAAAAGGTGAAAATTTTCATTCCTCCTTATTCTTCATCTCTCCACATATCTCCGGTATGTATAAAGACTTTCATGGTGATTTCTTGACAATTATTATCATTTTTGCTAGTATGTGTAAGTAATGTTTATCATTTCACAATAACGACCATTCTACGTCTCACACAGTGAGCATTTAACGCACAATAAGAATTTCAAACTTTGACATTTTCTTCTTCATATTACCTGTTCTCCGTTGACATGTTCTCCACAGTCACATTTTCAATTCCGTATTATATGTTAGCTTTTATTCAAATTATTTTATTTGTATCATGCCTCGCTTAAAGGATTCTTACAAACATTTCTTAAACCACATTTTCTTCTTGAATTAGTAAAAAGTTGAGAATATAAAATTGAATGTACATTCATGTCAGTGTATGTAAAATGATATTTTTCGCATGTTTATATGCGATTGTTTACTTCTAAGAATGAATGATATTTGTTTGAAAATGGCAAATAATATTAAATGTGAAGAATTCGCTTCTTTACTGTGGTATGACAGCTTGGCACGTTTTCAATCAAAAATGTAACCCTTGGAGTTTTTTTTTTTTTGACTCAGGGTTTTCCAGGTGCTTATAAAAAAAGCATAATATTTTAAAATTTAATGCTTGCAAGAAATGATTATTTTTAATATGATTCACACATGAGATCATGATTAAATATTGTTCCAGTTTTTGAAGTAAGCTATGAATCACTTCCTTACTTTTCAAAAAACTTAAAATTCATACCCATGAAATTGGAGCAGGTTTCTTTGAAATTCCTAGAATATTTATCCATATTAAATCTCAGTAAATTTAATACTGGAAAATTCTTGAAAAGAATGGAACATAACAAAACATAAAGGAAAAGAAAGAAAGAAGATATCAAGTAGAAACATAAAAAAATTGTTTTTCTTACATTTTCCATCTGTCATAAATTTCACATTTAGCTTGATGCCATCAGAATACATTTTTTTCTCGTCTAAAAAAATAGGAATATCATGCATGTTGTTAAGCTTTAACAAGGCAATGTGAAATATGAGGAAAACTTCCATTCATATCTGAACGTTACGGTTAGCGTATAATATGCGAAATGATAACGAGAAAGAATAAGAAGAAAATGGAAAAAAGTGATACAGTTGAAAAAAGGGGGAAATTTATAAATATTTAATGAATCTTTATGTCTGTCTTCAAAAATGATTTTAGTATTATCCATTACATCCCTTCCTATCTACATGTCTTTCATGTTTTTTATTACAATGAAATACCTTTTTGCTTTTTCAACAACAGAAAAACACTGTGTTTATGTAATGTTTTATCATTATCCCATACAATAGATGTACTTAAACACATAAAGCTTGCTTGCTTTCTTCTCGTTTCGAAAGAAAAAGAATTACTATGTGCGTGAGCTACCCATGCCTTTTAAATAATGCATTACAATAATTGAGTACAATTTGACTTTTTTCCATTTATTTTTTTCCTTCTTTTATTTAATTTTATTACATGCCGCACTTCTTGTTCTTCTTCTTACAAATGTAAAATGATTCAGAAACAATTTCATTTACGTATGCTGGTTGTAATCTTTAGGCAGTTTTGGGACTCAAAAAGGATGAATGAAAAATAAAGGAAAAGGTATGAAATTGAAAGAATTTATCTCCGAGGATACAAATGTGTTCTATTTATCCTGACTGTTTAAAGTAGAGCCTTTTAAATAGTGGCCCTTGAATATTAAAACTGTAGGAAGTGTGAGAGGAGTTTTATATACCGATAGACCGAAATGCGCATTTTAATTTTTTTAAAACTTGCTTTCCAAATTTCTGTTTTATTTTTCAAAAATTAAAAAGCATTATAATAAAAATAGGCTCAACAAGAAGTCAAATTAAATAAAATAAAAAAATGTTTTATTGACTCAAGCTACCACATCTCTTTTTGTGTTTGTATTTGAACTTGACTCTTTTTCTACCCATTTTAATATTTACATTCTCTTGAGCTTCTTTTTACATTTGTTCCATGTTAAGAGAAAGAATGAAAGAATCTGAAGAAGAGGCCTAATGGGAGAGAATGAAAGGATAGAAATTGGTAAACAAGCAAAAGTGAGTACATACTTAAAAATTTATTACTATCCTTTAGATCCATTAACATATAAAATTGTTACAACAACAAAGTAATGAATCTTCACGGTTACGAAAACAGAACGATAAGATTTCGGTGTTGCACGTAAATTTCTTCGCATGTCAGTTTGGATTTTTATCAGTATAGAATGATATCATTGAAATAAAAAATCTTTGAAGGTAAAATCAATTTTCTATGACATTTTAGTATCGCTTTCCTTATTTTTTCTTGCATTTTTATATTTTTCTTTGCAGGTTAATAAATAGAAAATATATAAAGCATAAATTGAGCTAAATGGAGGAATTCTCAATAAAAATGAAGAAAAATTTGCATAAACTTCTCCCACGTGTATTGGAAAATCTTTTAGTACATAAAAAAGTTATGAAGAATTTAAAGACAGTCATTCAAAATAAGAGAAAAATAACGAGGATTTTGTGTGATGAAAGACATAAAACATTTAAGACTATAAGATTAGTGTTTATTTCGAGAAAATATTTTCTATTTGATAACCATTTATTAATTTTTTTGAAGACCTTTACTCCACTTTTGACATAATCTGTTTAGATTTTAAAGCACCATCTGCTGAAATATCCAGCAATTTAAAATATTTTACAAAATTTTTTAAGATTTTGCACCTTGGATACTATTCATTCTCTAAGTATCTTCTCCTCTCCCGAGTCTTCGCATATTTCTTTCAATTTTATGTGATTTTAATTCTTTTATTTGATGTTGTAAAGTTCTTCTTTTCCATGAAAATCTTTTTCCTTCATTTCTTTCATTTCACAATAATAACGACTATAATAAAGGCACATCGTCTTATGGACCGTAAAAAATCAGGAGTCACATAACAACTTTAAAGACGAAAATGAAAAATTGAATTTTCGCTTCCATTCAATAATGCGACTCTGCTTATGAACATAAAAAAATACATCAATAAAAAAATTGGAAGAAGAAAAAGAGGAATCTTTTCATAAGTTTCAATTTACGTAGAATATTTGCTTCTTGATATTTTGTTCCGAGTTTTGAATTACTGCAAAATGATGATAGAATAAAAATAAAAACAGAAATGAGATCAAAATTCATCATCATAAAGATTACATGAAAGACTTTATGTTAAATCTGTATTTTTCTTCGATCGATTTCTTTGTGAGAAAAATAAAAAAATATAAAGTACAAAATCCGAGAAATATCTTGAAGAAATAGTTCCAGCTGACATGTCACCTACTAGGTTTGTTCAGAAAGGTTAACATCATGCTAATTTTTTAACATCCATAGAACATTTACGGTAAATTAGCATTTAAAATGTTATCCCAAATTTTATTATTTTGCAAAATACCCATCGTTTGAATACGAAAGACTATAGACTCATAAAAATCAAATAGAATTTAAAATTCTAATGAATTCATTCATCAATAAATTTTGAATAAAAATGATCATGTTCTATTCATTAGCCAGCAAATCATCCCACGTTTAAAAAATTCATTCATTTCTACTCGAAAACAGCAAAATTTCCACAATTTCTCATATAAATTATTTATATTAAGTTGGCATGAAAATTCTCTTTTTCCATTTGCTTACTAAGTAAGGCATTTCAATACCAATTTCATATACAATATAAAAAGCTCATTAATTTAGCATAATAATTGCCGCAGTGGCAAAGTTATAGCGATAATAATCTCTTCGCGGTACACTTCGACCCAATTAATTAAAGAAAATGTAAGGAAAAAATATTTTTATAGGTGAACTTACCTCCTATTTGTCTCGATGCAATACAATTTATAGACGCTATATGTATCAACACTACGACACTAAATACTAACACATTACACCACCGCATCATCATATTACCACTGTACCGCATACACGGCACCATCATATTTCTGTCGTCACAGCAATTAATGAAATCACGAGAAATTTTAGCGGTGAACGCTTTTTGATTGATTTTATTTATAGATTTATTTGATTGAGTTCTTTTTAATTTCAATTTTAATGATGCGAATCTGTTTTTTGATGGTTGATTGTAATCTATTAAATCCATGTTTTCAGCACAAGCTTATGTGTGTAATAAGTTGTGAAAACAACATACAGCAAAAAATATATTTATAACAAAAATTTTTTTATCTTCTTCCGTGGTGATTCACAAAATGAAAATTATATGCCTACACTCAAGCTTATGAGTGAGCATAAAAATCTGATTATTGTTGTTATTATTATTATTTTAAGTGTTTAGAGTTGTAAATTATGACTTCAAGTCCAACAATGTCGACAGGTGATCTGCAAAGAGAAGAAATAAGAATGAAAAAATTAATAAATTTTCAACATTGTTAGAAGCGAAAGAAAAAACAATCCCAGAAATGTTTATTTATTTTCATGTTCATTAGTTTCCCACTGTGAGTGTGTAAGCTAATAAAGCTGTAATACAACCGAATGAGAGAGAAAGAGCGAGTGAGACCGTAACATAAAAACAGTTTAGTGAAATGGGCAATAAGTGAGAAAAAAATATAAACAGAAAATTATTATGTACCCCCTTTAATGTAATATGAGTAATAAGAAAATCAACAGCTGTTGGTCATAATAATATTATGCTGTGTATATATGGATAAACATGAATTTATAAAACACTGAAAAGCAATAAAAGTGTGTCTAGATTAAAATGAATTTATGGATATATCTATCAATAATCTTTCATTTAATGTGAACGTGCACTATCCACATTTTTATGTTTCTACAAGAATTTCATAGTGAGATTTTTTTAAATCCATGGATGAGAGAAATATTCAATAAAAGTGTGCATGTTAGTCAAGCAAGAATTGTGATTTTAATCATTTGAAGAATAACTTTCATTTAATTTTAAAATAGGAACTCTAACTTCCATTAGAACAATGTCTAACTTGTCGCTTAATTATTCATCCACAAAATTCTGACAAGTGACGGAAATTTATTCAACTACTTAAAATATGCTGCACACTGGATTTAACATTACTACTTAAAATATTATCTTCGTCCACAACATTTAAGTCAATTCCATACACACATTGTTCTGCATTTGACTATTTTTCATGCAACAAAAAAGCTTTTAATAATCTCCACGTTTGCCGCGAGCGGATGACAACGGTTTTTGCATATTTTTTGTACTGCTAACAGCTCACAATTTTGCCTATGTTGAGTTGAATGCGGTCAGCAGTTTTTTTGCTATTCTGTTCACTCGTCGATTCCACATTTGCTGAAAAGACTTTAGCAGTTATTTCAAGGGGGAAGTCAGCTCGAGTAACAGTTAAATTCAATAATTTTTTTTTTGCAGTTTGCTGTTTATTTTTAATAGTCTTTAAAGTTACAGAGTGTGTGCCTGATTTGTTGACCCCCTTTAAGCTGTATAAATGAGTACATTTATGAAAGACGTAGCACATAATAAATAATAATAATGACGATATGAAGTGTGTAAAAGAGGATTTAACTCTCATCTTTAATCGAAATCACATTCTGACACGTTTATTATTTTTTTACTATTTTTCATTGTCAACATTGTTGTTGTTAGTGCTCTTTGCTATTTATTCATAAATATCAGTATGTATATAAATATTGCATGAAATATGATTTATCGTACAGCAATTCACTGAGCTTTATTGCAGTTATTATTGCATGCAAAAATTGTTTATGAAAATGCAAATTCCCGAAAAATACGATAAACAGCACAATGAACGAATAGATACATTTATGAATATGTAGAATCGGTACAATAAACACAGACTTATATAACATTCTTCACTATCTATGGTATGAAAAAAAAATTTAAATATTTCAAAAGATTTAAGACATTGCAGTAAAAAACGTTCAAAGTAAATTGAGTTTTAAACTTTATAGTTTCAAAAGCGCAGAACCTCGTTTGGTAAATGAACACCTAATGAACATCACTAAGGATTCACTTGAAAATATCAAGATTTCTCGAATTAATGTAACTAGATTCTCACACTCCAAAAAATGCAAAAAGACAATTGAATTGTTATCTCAACCAACCAACCAAACCCCATTCATTCCGAAAAAAATACATTCTGCTGCTGAACATTGATTTTTTTTTGCTCTATTTATGAATTTCCCGAAAAGAAATTAATCCAAAGCATAAATCAAATGCACTCATTCATTTACATGCAAGTACACCAAATGGACCCCATTTGCGTTTTTACAATTTGCATTTATTATGCAGTTGAAAATCATTTTGTGCTCATTTAATCCTGATTAGTGCGATTTCATCCATGTTTATATTTTTTACTCTGTGGTACGCCACGAATTGCTGTCTTTGTTGTTGTTGCCAATGTTGTTTTTACAATTCTCTCTCGTTTTTTTCATGAAATGAAATTTTAAATGTGAAATTTAACACAGAAAGTGCAAATAAAACGTAAATATATTGTGATTGAGTATTGAATATCATGCGGTAATTTAATGCTTGTCCGAGACAAGTTTTGTATAATAGATTTTGTAAGCAAATTGACGCAAAATTGCTTTCGTAAATTGTAGAGGAAAAATTATTGAATCTGTCCTATTTTTTGCCAACCGATGGTTTTTATAGCTTCACAAATTGATTCTGAAAATATTCTTAATGGCTTATCGTGAAAATAATTCAATTTTCTCCAATGATGCCCTCCCTAAAGAGCTTATTGTTGATCCATAGTCAAAACATCTGTAAAAATCAAATAACACCCAAATCCTTTGCCAATAGCAATCTACGCTTTTTATTCAATACCTTACATGATAAATCCCATCCATTAATTAATAAAACTCAAAATCCTTTTCATCTCATCAAAAAAAAAAGAAATGCAGAAAAAATAAACCACTTATTGTACAATTCAATAATTCATGGCGCTGAAAAAAGCGAGATTGTTGTATTGCTTTTTAATTGAAGCATGCATGCATTTATGATACATTTAGAGAAGCAGAAAAAATGAGTCGACATACGAAAAAATAAATGTATTATTATTCATGCAATGTATATTCATACAAGGAATCATAAGGGGAGGGGATCAAAATGAACAAAAAGTTTATGGAAAAATAATGTTTCGTTATCGAAGCGTCGAGTGCGAGAAGTTGATTTAGCACGTGACACTTTTTCAAGTGGATTCATAACAGTCAATGTTTGACATGAATGCTATACGTTTTGTTACTTAAAATGAGAAAGGACTTCAATTAAGTTACAGGCAAAAAAGGAGAAAGGTTCTATGTATGACTTTCAATAAAAATGCGGAAAATTTTCTCATCCTAGGATTGTCAACTGAAATTTTCTGGGGTGAAATTGATGAGATCATTTATGAGTTTCCAAAAATTTGATTGGCATGTATAGCCTTTAATTTTGATTGGAAACTAATTTTTCGAATATAGTTCCAATTTTAAAAATTTACAATCAATAGACATCACTCAATAGCAACAGTTTCCAAACCTCGCAACAAAAGAATTCATATCCTCTAAAATAATCGAATTTTTACCAAACATGAGACAATTCTGGTATTGTTTCTAATGCAGATTGCATTTCATTTCACTTTTCGTCTATATAGGGGGAAGTCAGACTTCACTGTCAGTGTCAATTCAGAGAACACTAGTTATATATTCTAGATATCATTCGCACATATGTACATTTTTATCCATACACAAAACACCCGATAAAATGTTACATGAAAGCAATGAAAGTCATGTGGATATCTCGTCATGCAATATTACATACTCAACAATGAGCGCAATATAGGCAAGCAACATGACGGCAACGATAGTACAAAAAAAATAATCGATTGATTTTTTTCTGCTCTCATATTTTTTTTTATTTTACCATATTACTGATATGTGTTATGTAGACGATAAAGAGATGGAGGTTGGTTGGTAGTAAGGCAAGCAAGCAAGCAGGCAGGCAGGAAGCAGAGGATGTGATTGCGCGCTTACTCATCATAATGTATGACTGGTATGAGGTGTTGATGTTTTTTCGAATTTATTTTCATGTATGCATAAAGAGCTTTTCAGCATAAAGAGATTAGTGGATTTATTAATTCAGTTTGATGTAGCTTTAAAAACAATAATAAAAATAATAGTAATATTGAACGCATATTGGTCGCATAATACAAAACGTCGGTGGATGTGGATAAAAAGGCAGACACAGAGAACAACAGTTGAAAAGGTGGAAACAATAAAGCCCCATTAACATCGTTTGGTCAAGCATGAAAAATCCGCTTTACTTTGTTATTCACTTTAATACATATTCATTGTATGATGTGTATTTATACTTCAGCACATATATGTACGCGACACAATCACATGGAGAGCATTGAAGCTTAAAACCACACAGCTACTTTACATCAATTTGCTTATCCATGATTACGATTTTATGCGATTAGTTTAGTGCAGTGAGCAGGAATGTATGAATGGTGAGGATTCTTCAATGGAAAATTGTTATCTATGAATGCATACAGAACCAGCTTATTATCTGGTCAGAAATTATTATTCTTTAATCCTTTCATTTAGCAATAAGCTTTTAGCATCAGTTCAAAGAAATTTAATTTCTAAAAGGATATTCTAAACCAAAACCTCAAGCTATCTTATTTAGCATAAACAGCTCTATAAGAAACCACAATTTCAATTATAGTTAACATGAATTTGTAGACAATCTAAATTTTATCAAATGTCAAGTTATGAACTTGTATGATTTTTGGCAAATGTTTTATAAGATACCTAAAATTATATCAGTTAATGACTCCATTCCAGATTTAATGAAACTTTAGCTCAAACATTCCAACTCATTAAACGAGAATTTGCTCACAACAGAAATCAGTTGAATGAAAAACTTTTCACATCTAAAGAAACACAACCGTCATCTTGTAATAATAGGATGTAAAAGTGCCAAAAGAATCTCATTTCTTGGTCATTCGCCAAAAATGGAGTGTTAAAAACATCATCTACGAACCAAGAACTAATCAAAAACTTTTCTACTAATTGCCACATAATTAGTCAAAAAAAAGTACATGGAGAGAAGATGTGGCAAGAAGTAGAGGAAGAAGAACAGAAATAAAATGATAACATTTCGCAGATGACAATAAGGATTTGTTGGTAAATGACGTGAATGTTTCTTAGATGAAAATATGTTTTTATTGAGCACTAGAAGCTATTTATGGAAGAGAAAAAATCAATAAAACTTCAAAAATAAACATTATTTGGTATCAACGCCCTTCCATTACTGACAAAGTTTTCACACACAAAACTGCAAATGATAAAGTTTATTTTTTTTCTCGGTTCTTTTCATC